CTGGTCTGTTCTGAAGAATGGAAACTTTGGAGCCTTGCTCATGAGTCAGTTTTTAAGCAATGCATCTGATTGCCGTGGTTTCGATTACACATCAGCTTTTATTACACATACACATCTGTCCATCCGATGAGATTGCTAACTATTTTCTTTATTTATGGTCCTCAGGAAACCAGGAAACGTTAACATTCGGCGACGTGAGTCTTCTATTCATACTGGTATGATATTAATGTGCGATTGCCTTCCTCGTAATGGGCGTGCTTCGAGGGTTGTCAACGCTGCGTAGCGTTTTCTATTCAGGTCTCTTGAAGATCACTACAATCAATTCAAAGGCTGCAACGATGTGGTAAACTCCACAAGAGGCAGGCCATGACTGAATCCAGAGTATAGAATTTGGTCACTCAGGTTTCGCACAGCAAAAATAAGACAGTGGAAAGCCGTGTGAAATACTGTGCAAATCTGGACTAGAAATGCATATCGGGACCGGAAGGTAAGGAAAGTCGAGGAGTCAAGATCGTACGGGAGCTTCACTTAGCTGATCCGAAAAACGGGACTTGAAAGACTAATGAAATAATCACAGAGGGTATTGGAAATCTGCTACCTGATGAAAGACAGCATTTAGAACATCTCGTTTGATTCGACATGCGACTTATCATTTTGGATCCCATCTGTTTAAGACGCGCTGGTTTATGTTCCTGCCTTGAAACGCAGGCGAGCCGCTAGATTATATGAGGCTTCAACATCATCCTTCAAACATGGGGATATTTGAAAACGAGAACGGCTTTCAGGCGAGTGCGTCCCTAGTTCAATTATCTTACCGGAGCAAGCTCTCCAAACTGGACGTTGTCAGTGCACACTGATGATGGCAAAACTTCTGCAAGTCAATCAGCATGGTGTGCGAAGAGGTCAGTACCATCCTATCAGTAGCTCTGTGGGAGTTTACGACGAACGGTAGAAGTGAAGGTTACCTTCTCCCTTTTCTCAATTTTTCTTCGATGCCATTCAAGTGAAGTCAGTAGGGCACATATACAAGACTGCTGTGAGAACGATCTCTTCTGTGGCTGCGAAAATTAGTCTATCCGATGAGAAGACCTCAAAATCTGAACACTTGATCACTGATGCTTTCTAGCCTTGCACGAGATAACTGGTTGCAACACGTATGCGAGAGTTTGATGCGTAAGCGATTCCTTGGTGGAAAATGAAAAAATAACATGCTATGGAGTCTGGCCTGTGTGCTTTGCATTCCCCGTCACCGTCCAGAGCAGAAAATGCTATACTTTCGCTCTACACATTGGAAAAATCTGCGGGAGGACAGGTTATGACATGTGACCAAGAAGCAAATGTAGCTACCGTTAAACCAAGTGTTTTGTGGTCTTCGTCACTTCATGGCTGGGGTCCATATGAATTTCCTTGCACGTGTTTACAAACCTCTAGGACATGGTCAAAAACCTAGCCAAGTGGCGTGAATGCTGTCACTTCCTTGCCCATCCAAGGCTTGTAAACTTATATATTGTGCACTTGGATTCCGTTCAGAGGCTCGCAAAGACTTTGGACCAACCCTAGTGGCCTTAAATTACTCCGAAAGATGTTCAGATGTGTTTGTTTCATTTGTGTATGAAGGTGTGGACACTTTGTTCTTGGGTGTATCTCCCAGGGGCACGGGACATTTTCTGCATCGAGTTCCACCTAGCCCGTTCATTTCCCTCCTTTCGACCAGGGTTTTTCCCCTTGTGCTTGTATGCAAATAGAGAGCTAGTTTTTGGTACAGGTGTGCTGCTGGTCTTGATGACGGCAGTTAAACTGCCCACAGCTATGCATTCAATAATTATGGTAGCAAATTTTCACCCTCGCCCAACATGGAAATTCGGCGCGGATGTGGTGTTGGTAATAAGCCTAACGAGAAGGACAAACTGTTCACGTCATCTTAATTAAGCAGAATCAGCTCCGGAAAAAAAGATGGAAGGAAAATCCAGTAGGAATTTCTGTCAGCTGCGTGAAAAAAGGAGTTTGGTACAGTTTATTTTGTGGTTCTTTGTGTGATTTGGGCTTTCAGAGTTCGTTAGTTAATGTATAGGGTGCACGGGTAATCTTCGTGAATGAGGGCCAATCCACCAAATGGCTCCAGTCTGGAGACGTGTTTTGTTACAGTGAATGTTTGGGATAACTGCCTGGCTAAAAAGCACATCAGTTGCCCATGCGAGCAGTTGTTCGAGTGCATGCATGTCTGCTATGGGATATTTGTTGACCACGACTGAGTCGCATTTCGGACAGTTGGTGGTTTTTATGAGAAAGTCATTGAGGAATCTGAGAGCCTCGGTCTACTCGGTCTCATTGGGGCGAGTGGATGGAGGTCAAGCATCGTTCGAAGTGTTGGTCCACTAATGAGCAACTAAAACAGTTTTTGCATTACAGTGATCGTTGAATTTCGCTCAGCAGATTCGGCTTCCTCTTTGTAGCTTGAAGTGGGTCGCTATGGGAAGGTACTGTCCGACTGGATAAACAGTCGCAAGTCAGTTATTACGAATGCGGTTTGGACTCAATTGACTCGTTTCTGATCAGTCTCTAGTTCGTGACAGTGAATCCTCACGGAGATTTCCACTTGGAAAAGCACATATATAGCCTAATCAATTGTACACTGCCATTAATTTGATTATGAACCAAAGACATATAAGACGCGCTTTAGAGAAGGGAAGAGGCCTGCAGCCGTAGGAGAGCTGGAATGCATCGATATCGCAAACATCGTATGGGCTACAGCTCGAAAGCGGGAATGTTCAGCTTTCGGAATTTTCCATCTGAAGTGTCTTTGGCTCTGCTGGGACGGTAATTTTGTCTTACAAACAGATTGGTATGCAAGCCCCACTACCACCTAACGGTTGGTTATTCCTGTCTGAATGGCCCCAAACAGCGACGTCGTGAATAGGTTGAATCAACTTGCTCAAAGCACAGCATTCATCAACCATTGTTTTTAGGGTTGAAAGGGGTTCGTTGTCTAACCATTTGGCTGCCGTGCTATCTGAACAGTCTTTTATCAAAAAGATCTCGAAGGTTTTAACCAGGTCTGTAAACTGGATTTAGATAAGACAACGTTCATTTAGAGATGCTAGTTGGCAGGTCAAACAGATTTCGGTTTGCTGACTAAATGCCCTGCTGGCTATCAGAGGTGTGAAGTTTACTCACCGTTACCTATGCCATACAACGACTGCCGCTTACGGTTGGTCTGGGTTGCCGTTTATTTGATGACAGCCACAATCCTGGACAGCGAAATTAGCATATACTTGATTCATGGTTTGACGTCGTGCTTCCTAGCAAAGAGCGAACCGACGGAATTTTCCACATGTGTTTGAAGATAATGTGTCTTAGTACGAGCGAGCGTGTCGTAATTATTCGATGCACCACCACCAAGGTTTATCCACCTGTGGTAGCATTTGCACAGTTTGTGAGTACCGAATGATCCTCAAGGTTATCAAAACACAGCTAAAAATTAACTTTATCTCAATACAACTTTTCTCAGTACAGGTATACTTCAAGTCGACAATGAGTCTGCTCAAAACTGATTTGTGATGTAGAAACATGAGGATCGCTCATTAAAGTGCACTACCCTTAACTCAGAGCTAGTCTGTGTAACACGTCTGAGCTGACTAGCACCAAGAAAGGTGTGCACAATGTGCGGAGTGCCAATAAAAACACAAAGAATGAAGATGAATCAATGTTCAGTTCGCATGATTCGGGGAGTGCTCTACAATGGGAGTAGTCCGAATTCTCGGTTGTTTGTTCATGTAACAATTGCAGCGGTTTGTTCTCGTCTCTCAGCATAGAAATGGGAAGTGTAGTAAAGGAATTTATGGATGACGGGATATCTTCCACTGGAGTATGTAGGGTTTGGTTCAGCTTTTGATCGCGAGAAGGCGAGTCGTTTATCGGTTGACATGTGAGTCAGGAATGTGGTGACCACTTATGCTGAGTAAACAATTTCCAAGTACTGAATGAACTCAGGTTCAAACAAACAGATAGACGAGCAGCCGGACATGCGTGTCTGAAAGTGTGGTTCCAACGCTTAACTCAGAGCTAGTCTGTGTAACACGTCTGAGCTGACTAGCACCAAGAAAGGTGTGCACAATGTGCGGAGTGCCAATAAAAACACAAAGAATGAAGATGAATCAATGTTCAGTTCGCATGATTCGGGGAGTGCTCTACAATGGGAGTAGTCCGAATTCTCGGTTGTTTGTTCATGTAACAATTGCAGCGGTTTGTTCTCGTCTCTCAGCATAGAAATGGGAAGTGTAGTAAAGGAATTTATGGATGACGGGATATCTTCCACTGGAGTATGTAGGGTTTGGTTCAGCTTTTGATCGCGAGAAGGCGAGTCGTTTATCGGTTGACATGTGAGTCAGGAATGTGGTGACCACTTATGCTGAGTAAACAATTTCCAAGTACTGAATGAACTCAGGTTCAAACAAACAGATAGACGAGCAGCCGGACATGCGTGTCTGAAAGTGTTTGTGGTTCCAACGTGCGCTGAGTTCAGCTGGAGACGCTATCGGCTTCTGTCCAGTTTGTTTAAAGGCTCAAAGCAGATCGGTGCACAATAGCGATATGCTAGTTTCTAAACAGGCTGAAGATGTTGCCGAGAACGCTGATGATGATGAGAAAGATAAGGATGATGCTAGTGGTGGAAAACATAAGAAAACAACGCTATACACAAAACCAAGGCGGGCCTCAAACCAATAACTGCACAAGGATGGGGATGTACCCGAATGCTGAAACATTAGTAACCACGGAACACTGATTTTTTTGCCTGCCTAAAATACTTTTGCTGCACCTCAAGTAAAATATTAGGGGGTGTGCAACACGGTTCATCTATGTCGAAGGCCCCATTGAATGTGAAAAAATGTTTGCGTGAGACTATTCTCGTTTGGAACCGACAGTTCGTCACTTCGTATGGCATCCGCTGCTTTGTTTTCCAAGGAGATGGAAAGTGACAGTCAACTGACGAAACTGAGTGCCGTCTCAAATGCTGTCGCGAAAGCGTACGAGCATGTGGGTAACGAGTAATCTGCACTGTTTATCAGGCACAGACCTAGAAATGTGACAAGGAGTGAACAGCTGACTTGGCCCATAATGGAAAAAATGGACAAAGACAGAGGCGATTGGATTCGGAAACGACCTAATGGACCGATTCATGAAGATTAACCACCCTTCAGAAATGTGTCCTCAAAGAGAATTTGAGTTATTTGCATCACGAGATTCACCACATCGCAGGACAGGTGAGTCTCCGGAGGGCGCGGTCTAGTTACACAGAGTGAACGGCATTTTTAGTCACTTTCGTGATGACGACAACAGATTCACTCAAAAATTCTTGTTTTAATGAGAACGATGCCATTAGTTGGTATAGAATCACCAGAACAATGGCGCCAGGACAGGACTGTTTAGGCGAGAGTGCTATTAGTGCCACATACTCAACCTAGTCAGGCCTAACTTGTCTAAGCCTAAGAGGGACAGGAATCAACTACCCCACTGAAGCGATATTGCATGGCACCTACACATGCAGTGATAAACCTGCCTTCTGCACCCAAATTAGTGTGGCCAAACCTCAGAGGTGAGGATAAAGAGCGCTGTTCGTACTGTTCACCTTTCAGAAAAGGGCCCACATGACCCTTCCTGTGCTTGGCTGGGAAACTGAACGATATGGTAGTTAACAGATGTAAGTGGTATTCATGTTGTAAGTTTCTTTCTAGGCTGTCTGACTGAGGTAGAGCTCTATTCAAGCAAACTGATATGGTTGTACGTCAGTGAGGCACTAGTGTTGTTATCTCGAGTTGCTATTAGTCATGATGATGTTGTCAATGATAGTGACGATGTAGTCAAACTAGCTATGGGAAATTGTACCAGTTAGCACTGCGTGAGGCTGCATGTAAAAGTGCAACTCTCACAAAACTCAATGTGCAGCTGAAGGAGTCGACAAGGCGCTACTCAAAGGCAATTGCTACATCGATGGGCGCGCTTTAAGGAGGGATTGGACGATGTGTGGGTGCCGTGCAGACGTTAGTAATCTGATCCAAGTAAACCCAAAGTGGTGAATAATACCATTCACAATACTGCACATAGACTATACCATGTGAATGTACCAACATTATGTGTCTTACCCCTCGCGCGTAGGACTCACTCTCACCGGGTTCTCTACCCCTCTAAACACGGCATAGTTTTCCTGGATAGTCATTCTTCCGCAAGCTCAGCCTGTGATATTATTGAAAGAACGGCAGGTATTTTCTCGACAGAACTCACTACTCATGAGGTTGATGAAAAGTCCTCGACTATGCTTTGCTGGGAATATACGCTGAAATATCTCGAATATTTCATCGACTGAAAAACGAGGTGCCTTTAGTGCAGCTTATATAGTTGAAGCATATCATAAACTACAGATCCATTTGGGTCGCTTGTTAAGACCAATATAATTTGCCTCCCCAATTGCGTACATGTTGGTGTCTAGGAGGACCTAAGATTTGCAGAAAATGGGAGACTGTGTCCAACTGATGAGTGTAAAGAATGGCAGTGGAAGAATAGTATGTTTCATCAAGAAAATATACTGCGACACCTTGAATATCGTATCAGCTGAAACACGAGACGGCCTTGTTCAGCTCATTCAGTTGGAAATTATCGTGAACGACAGATTTCGTTGAATCGCTCGTTAGCGCTAGTGACGTTTGCAAATGAGTGTACTTTGTTGATGTCAAACGTCCTTTTTAGAAAGGGCGAAATAAAGGCAGACGGTGATGAAAAAGATTTGAGCAGCATCACAGAGTTAGCGTTCGTGTAATCTCGTTTATCAATAATTCTCCTTTGGTGGGCAGGTAGTATGTTTCCAAAAAAACACTTGAACTATCGTAGGACAGTAAGCAGAAAAGCTGACGGTGAAAATGCTGAATACAATGTTAAACAGTTTGCTTAGAAATAACCTCAGTTTCAACGAATAGACCATGGTGGACAGCCTTTGCAGTTTTGTGGTAAATGGAAGTGGGAGAAACCGGCTCATCAATCCAGAAGGGCAACTATTGTACAAACTCAGGGAAGTTACCTCAGCTCCAGATTTTCTTCACAATGAAATAGGGGTGTGTTACTCAATAACCAATCAGAGCCGCTCAAGTGGCTTAACAGCAATCGGTTTCGCGGTGGTGATTCACACTCGACTTTGGAATGTTTTAGGCGGTTGGGTATTGAGCACGACCAGGGGAGTGTTTGATCTATTTGAATAGAGGTTTGTACTCCAATATAACTTGAGTTATTTACAGACTTATGACATTTTCGTGCCTGAAGAATTCTTTAGTTCACGTTCCTTATGAATCTGAGAGCTGATGTGCTCGATCGAGTCGCTACCCGCATTGATGGCCTAGGTGCGATGAGATTGCGTTTCTTTTGCACAAGTACGGCATACAATAAAGAGAACTAAGGCTAGGTTGGACACTGATTTAGTCAGAAGGTAGTATGATTAAATAGCGATTAAACAGCTGATCGATGTAGTTCTAGTGTTCTGGACATTTCAAGATTGTCGCTTTTGGTATTTTTCTGGAGTGTTTAAGTTGATTTCTTGCCTGAAACACCGTCCAAATGGTTGAAGACCGGATATAGAATCTGGTCAATAGTAGAACCATCAACAACACAGCTTATTCGTAGTGATACTTCAATCTCACTCGAACATTGTATCTTAGCAGAAAAAGCTCGGGGGTGAAAGAAGGGATCAACGGAAGGGAGCCTGGCCTGGATGTCAACTTACGACTGACATTCAATGTAATTGCGTCTCTGTAGCAGATCACAAAAATTTCACGGAACCCGACAAGAAGCGCAATTATCGTGAAAGATGTACAGCCTTCGGTAACGTGGAAACTCTTTGTAAACTCCTTCATACTCCCGTACCACTCATATACTGCATGGTTTGAGTCACTATAAATTCGGTACAAAACACAGTAGTCTCATTGGTAGGCGATAGCTGCGTCTGCGTCGCTAAGCTAATGCAAAAGCTCATGTCCGCAACAAAAACTACCCAATCAGTTACTGATGCTGACTTAAATAAATATAACAAATGGACTGGTGGCGCAACATTAAACCCAAAACTGATCTGACTAGACTATAACGAGGTTCTGATCTTTGGAGATCAGACAGAATGTTCTAAAACTAGTTGGAAGCTAAGGTCCACCCTCCGTATGTGCCCCATTCGAGTGCGTTTAATTCGAAAAAAACATACAACCTTTGTTGAACTCACGATGAATCCACCTTCTCTGCAATACTTGTAGACAAACCACAATGGAATCATTGCCACGGGGGACATTGCGATCACGTTGCCCAGGGCCAAGGCCCATTTCGGGTATCGGTATTCCTCCACCTTGAATTCCTCTCCAGCCACAAAGAGGAACAGGAGTAGGCCAAGGCTGATCAGTGGAACAAGGAACATCCAGCTGATTCGCCAGTACCAATTGGGTCGTTCGTTGATCATCAGTGCAATATCACGGCGAAATTGTTTGAGGCCTGTACAGATGGAAGCGAGGACAAAAATAGCGTTGAAGTTTTGAAACTGCATCCTGTTCATCGATCTCACTAGAACTGATAGAAGGTGTATGCTACGATATGTTAGCGCTTTTTTCACGTTCTTCAGTTGCGGATGTAAAACATTCAGGGTTTGTTGAACAGGCACTGATTTCTGCAGCCACCTGATCAAGGTTAGAGTAACCAACTTGTTTGTTTCAGCTGATTTTCTTCACATAGTCTGGGAGCTTCGCTTGTCACTGAGATCCGGCGGTTTGTGTTGCGCCATAGGATTCGGAAGGAATTGGCCAAGTCAATCTGATGACCGGCGTCTAACAGATGCGAAATTGTGGTCTGACCTTTGACTCGACGATTTTCCTGAAGACATTTGGACTCCACAATTTGGAATGTGTTCTAAAGCACGTTCCGCTAGGGATCTATCTGATAGTCTGACGTAAGCGTCTCCGCAGCTGTGGCAGAACCCAGAACTAGATGGGAGGTAGGTGGATTATACAGCTCAGACTAACGCCTGTGCAGAGAAAATCCTCTGCCGATCGGTATGAGGCGTCGCTCAGCTGCAGCAGAAGCACGTTTTAACGAAAAGTGAATTACAATGAAACACTCTGGATAAATGTTCTTCAACGTGGTTTACTTTACCGATTCCTCGTTTGCACTATTTCATTCAGGACCCATAGTTTCCGTAGAATAAAATCCTTACCACTGCGTGCTTATGATCTATTGGGGTGTAACTGGAGAACCGCAAACACTAATCGTCCAATGTGTTCTCACGTATATGGTACAAGGCAGTAATCCGTCGGTAAACCTTCAAACAAGTATATCAATACAAGATAGGCTGTCGTTCAGTTCATAATCAGATTATTGGGGGTGAAATCAAGGGTACTTGGGAGGGCCTGGAAGTTCTCTATATCGGTAACAACGAAAACATTAGCATCAACAAACCGCTTATACAGTAAAGATTATGAAATTTCATCAAGTCTCTTGTTCAGTCATGTTTTACGTCCGCAAGGCCGAAAGAAGTTTTAAAATATCACAGTATACGTCTTTCTGCTGAAATCCTGACATACCGGAGCAAACTTCGGATAGCCTTTCCATCACCAGTTCAAGAATCTCAACATAATCAACGAGTGGTCTACCTATGCAATTCTTTTGAATATCCGCAGGGTTTCTCCCGCACCACTTGTCGGTTGATAGATGTCTTTTTATCATCAGATTCAAGTGACAGATGGAAAGTCAGATCAGCTGGGTGATCCAAGAATCCCATTTTATTTGCAAGACTACAGATTCCCGGAGTCACGTAATTTCACACGTAATTTCCGTCATCTCGTAAACCATGACCAATTTTGTAATGTCTTTCGGTAGTTCTCCCGAATAATAGATCCAGCACTGAAGACTGCAGTGTCTGGTCCGTGTGTGATGTATGCCGGGTTACCGACTGCCGAGTCGAATACTGTTTCCCATGCCCAAGCGGAGAGCCAAAAACCTAAAGATGGACAGGATTGGACATCAGAACAGAATGAACGATGTTAGGAGAAGTTTGGATGCCGTTACCGCTGTTCGCTTTTTAGAGCAGTGTCCACGTGACCTTCCCAGCACTTGGCTGGAGACATTGGACGATATGGTGGCTAACCGATTTTGGTGGCATTCATGCTGTCAGTTTCTACACAGATTATCTGACAGTGCCGGAGATGTAGGTACCTCAGATGTTTTTGGTAGGCTAGCTCTAGATTTCTCTCCCTTAGCCATTTTTTCCTTCTTTCCATTTAGGTCTTCATTGAAATAGACTGAATTGGAACACCGGTGTTCCCATCTGGTGTTGCTGTCAATGATGATGATGATGATGATGATGATGATGATGATGTGATGATGATGATGATGATGATGAATAGAAGTCCGTCAATTTTAGTTCTTCTGGATATGAAAATCCCATAGTTAGCGTAGGGCCTATAGCAAAGTACATGGTGCCATCTGCGTTGGCTCATCCATGCGATTATCATTTGATTAAAGGGTCACGATGCAGCGTTTGTTGGGAAATGAAGCTAATACTGAGGACTGCCATCTCCCCTACTGTATCCACTTTTTTCCAATTCACTAAAAAGTCCCACATAGATTGCTAAAGCACCGATATACCGTTGAAAGTGGGGTGGCCGTTTGAACAACATCTGAACTGATGTCGGATGGCACACCTTGCGCAAATTTTTCACTGGAGTTCGGTTTCAACCTTGCTGCACTATAAAATGTGTACATTCCAGGCACAGCTGTTGAGACACACAAAACTCAATGCACTCAAAAAGGGCAAAATCGGTCGTGCGCTGTTGAAGAGTTTTCAGCAACCTTATGAGTAGTCCATTACGTCTATCAATGCACCGAACTTTGACTGGTTGTTTTAATCCAGGTTACTGTGACTCACAAGTACGCCCACAGTACATGGATGTTGTTTCGGATAAACGTAAACTGAAAGTCTATGTGGTAGTCTTATGAGGATGGATCCTTTGCTAACTTAGACTCATCTATCTTTCTAGCTCTTGCGCACTTGTACACCATAGTATACCCGTCTGAATAATCACCTTCGAAGGACACCAAACTATTTGCCCGACAGAGCTGTTGTTACTTGACATCATCACCTAACAAGAAACGTATCGTGGTTTACTGTACGGGGTTGAAAGACTGTCAACAATCTTCGTTAAATTGAGGCGCAGCCTTTTCTGTTGTGCATGAATCTCTCAACTATCCAAAACACTTGAGACGGTTCATTTAAGACGACTCACCACCTGTCAGAAGCGTTGAAACTCCGTCGTCTATGAATCACGTAGCTCAACTCTAACAAGAGATACAGCTTGTCACGACGATGCGTGCCAGTATGGTAACGAGTGTGACGATATTCATCCAGAAATCGGTGAACATCTAGTTGCCAAGTGCCGTTGCTATTTCGGCCTAATTAATTTCACTTCGTGTGACAGCGAATGTCGCCGAGTGCGTACTCTAAGATAACTTATCGGTCAAGACAACTCAGGTCCAATCACGTGAATCCTCTGGTGTAATATGTGTAACAGCCATGTAACACCGGTTGTTCAATGCAGTATTCAACTAGTAGGTATGAATCGGTGTATTCCATGACAGCAGCTTCTCTCAAGGAGTCACTCAAGTAGGGAGTATCGCATCACCGGTCGTTCGTGACCGAAAGTAAATTTCCCACTATCACGACCGTCTCCGCAAATGATGTCTTTCCTTTTGGGGTGATTTCTCGGTAATTGTGTTTTGCCGGGCAAGGTGTTTCTGTGTATTCAAGAAACCATCTAAGGAGGCGGCTGGTTACCGTACCTGTCAAGTTTGCAAAGATGAATTGAGTGACACAGCGGGAAAGAACACAGAGATTGTCGATTAAAGAGTGCGATGAACTCACATCAGTACACATCGGAGGTCGCGACTCAAAGGCTGTATGGCTTTCGGTGCAAATGTTCAAATGCCCGTACAGATTTCCTACCTGTATTTGTCCAAGATAAATAATAATCACTCAGCGTTAATACCATTTCAATGCATAGATACCATGCCACCCAGAGGAGGCACGAGGGCTCAGGTATTGCTAGGTTGCCCAGGCCTGGAAAGGAGCAGTCGAGATGCCGAGGTCGGGTTCTAACCACAGACCGTTCGTTCAGTTAGTTCGTGTCAATCAGCTAACTCGAGCTTTCTACATTCATTTTCAGGCTAGTCCTTGGGCATTTTGAAAGGTAGCACTCCTGATGTCACGAAATCATACCTCGTAGTGGACATCACTGTTACCAACTCAGAGAAACAGAGACCACTGACAGACGCAGAATATGATCTTTTAAAAACGATTTGGAAGGGGCAGTACGGCAGTACATAGCTCACCGTATATGTAGCAAATCACAACTGTCTCAGCGATGGCAATGAACAGGAGCGGATATCCGGAGAGGTAATTGTCGATCAGATAGAACAGATAGTATCCACCTCCACAGACCATGGGAATACCGAGCAAGAAGTTGACCAGACAAATGAGGCACCTGCGTTACATACACAGAGACGACAGAAAACGGTAATAATGAGATTAAGAAGAGAACAAAGACTAATCAGATTTAGAAGGGCTGGGAACACGTGATAAAATAAGGACTATGCGTTGTCGATCGGCGACATGGAGACAATGACTCCTATGTGATAACAACCTCTCTTTGTTCTCGTTGTGGCACAGAACAGTCCACTGAACAAAATGTTTGGACAAACCACTAACCAAGCAATCGGCCAGGCATTATTATTCGAAAAAGTCTTTCCACTTAGTAGAATTTGATAAACCTACTTGGATACTATTTTATCTCGGAAACAGACTGCGATTACCACCGTGTCGAGGAATGCACAATCTAGGATGGCATCAAATGTGTTTATGTCACGCAGCTTAGGGGACTAACGAGGTCACTTCTGGTTCCATCCATTGCATTCGGTCTATTTCTCATAATGTTTGGACTTATGTTGAACATCTCTTCTGGACTGAAGTGTCACATACCTCTGTCACTCAAGCGGGTCTCTTTGTCCAAAGTAGGAGTCAGTTTCCATCTCTATGTCTCGCTCTGGATTTATCTCAGATATTCTCGTGATCCCAGGCAACTTTTGTACCATTGTTGATTCCGGGGTCACTGTTATCAATACAGACACCCTTTGCAACACCCACCACTATGAAAACCACTTTTATACGCCGTTATGAAGTGGTTTCTATCAATAATGATGAGGAATATGTACAACGTCAAGCATGAAGTGAACAGCCACAGTTCCTCTCTTCCCAACTTACCGGATGAACGTGGATGTATACTTTCTTTCACAAGCGAGTGTAGGATTATAAGCCCAATCAGAGTAGCCGGGTTCCAAAATGAGTCATCTTTCCACGTATTGCTCTTCATCTTATCATCGTCTGATTACCTTGTATCCTCCAAATAGACCGGATATAAACCAGTTGACAAGTCTATCACCATGACACTTGCAGTACACAAAAACTGGCACGCGAAAAAAAGTTAGGCCTTCTGTTTTTATGTTTTCTAATAGACTCGCATGCATGACCATAGTAAAACCCTGTTCTCAATTGGAAATGGACAAATGTGAACCTCAGTCTAACTAAACTCAGTAATTTTCAAAACATCCAGTGAAAAATTGAGGATTTTGCGCCCAAAACGCTTGTAAAAGGCATGAGGGAAATTTCCAAACCCTGCTGGTCATCGAGGTAATGGAGCTGGTGCTTCTAGAGTGTAAATGGCGGCCTTGTTCAGGTAAAAAAATGTAGACGAAATATACTTCATGTGTATGCGTGAGCATATTCAGCTACCATAGAGGACAGACTTCCCCAATGAAGTGTCCACACATCGTACTACTTACTCAGATCGTTTGCTGCAGCTCACCGAAAGTCTATGGTGAGTTCGAAGCTTGGATATAAAAATTTCATTTTGCAGTGGCAGTGAGGAGGCTGGAAAATCATGTTGGCAAACCCAAATAAAATTTTTCGTCGTTTGGTGTTGTGTAGACAAAGCCATAATGCAGGTTCCTTTTCAAGTCGATGTCAGCTTGTCAAGAGGCTCAATGGTTGCAAGAGTATCATTATGAAGACAAGGCAAAGAAGGTTATATCGGCGAAATTCAAATGATACTGTCTTGGAGTTGCACAGTTTTGAGCACAATAAGGAATGCATGGGAAATTACCAGTGAACGAGGCCGTATTATGTATAGAGGGACATTTTGGGCGCTCCAGTGATCTCATTATTAGGCTAACTTCTTGAGGCTATGACACTAATGTAAAATAAGATAATTTTAATGAAGCTATTTATAGGTGACGCTGCTAACTGTTCTCACAATACTTACTAAGATATTTATTTCTGACCTAAAAGTTACTCTTACGAATCGGTAGATTACCTGAAAGAAAAGGAAGTCGGTTGGCCTTCAACTCGTCTTGAGAAAAAGATAGCTGAACCATGTTCGGCATTAGCATACAGTGATATTGTGAGAGTAGAACACTAGGCACAGCTTGAGTTACGTTTGTCAGCCACCGGAGATGTCTAGCCATGCGATTTGCTGACAGATATCACTACTTTCGTCGACATCAGACCGTATAGTCACCCACAAATTCAATGAAGGCTACGAAACTAGCTAGAGCTCCACAAAATTAAGCGGACCTGACGAAATACAGTCAGTTGCGAATCGCATTACAAAAGACTCAATTGAACTTTTCAAATCAATGTGTTGTATAAAAACTACCACGTGTTTCACGTGATACGATATTCGAGACATTGCAGTCTATTTTCGTGAAGGATCCAATCACTCATTGGTTAGTTGAAGACTAGTCGACAGTCTATGAACAGTTTTACCCGTATTCAGCTTATCAGGTGGGCGTAGTGCCCAGGTTTCCGTCAACCTTATATCCTTCCTGTTCTATTAAATTGTACGCTACCGAAAAATGGCAAAAATACAATGACGAACACCCATGTTGTAGGACTGACAGTCTTGGCTGTTTGTTTCATCAAATTATTAAATATGTACTGACTTAAAGATGATATCCCGAAAACACCGTTGTGTTCTTGTGACAACCATGAAACTATCCAAGCTGAATAACAACAGTTGATCGCTCGGTCTTTTATCTTTTTGAGTTCAGGATTGATTGTGACTGGTGTGAGTGAATCTGAACAGATCACATGACGGCGTACGTGAAAATGTTCTAAAATTCTTCAACAATACTCCTCATTTCCGAAAGTTGCTCACATCGATTGGCCAGTTTGGTGGCTATATCCATATGTAAACCATAAGTCAAATGAGTACAACAAACTCCTTCAGTAGGGACAGATAGTCGAGTGAGTGTTGCCCGAAGAATGATGCCAAATATTCCCCATGGGTTTCGTGCTTGTGTCTGAATGCTGGGGTGCAGTGAAGAGATACGTTGCATAATCGGAACTAATTAACCAAAACAGTTGAGCAATTTGGTCAGAATCGTTTATCTAAGGAGGGTAGCAAGAAGCTCCTCAAAATCCCGGATGCGGACGAATCTTCCAAACGAAAGTTGAACGTTATTTCGCCGAAAAATAGATAGATGTTCATCCATGTTTTTGAAAAAACATAAGAGACGGAAGTGGTAATCTAACTAATTTCGGTTCTACAAGACCAGTAATGAGGAGTGTAGCTTGGAACAATCTAAGGCGCTTGGATTAAATTAACGACGGTTAACGACCTACAAGAAAAGATTAGTTTTCCAGCTGATATGAGTATTTCTACTCACAAATAAATCGATTTTTTATCGGTCGTTATAGCAGCTTTTCATTATTTCAGTCTTTTTGCACTGTAGTTATTCAACTGGAACCAAAACGTTCTTTCGAATTCTATTTGAATCTGTTCTAAACCGTACGAATCATCTCAATTAGTATAGATAGACGGGCAATGCCAGTGTCAGTCGAATTAGACGGTAGTCGCTTAGCGCTTTGGTGCATCAAGAATAAACCTTCTCTTGTCGATGGGACGTTAACTCACTCAACGATATTCAGATAGGCATGTTCGTCAGGGTAAAATTCAATGCTCTCTGAGCACTATTGTCACATGGCTGCTTCGTGGTGAGCTGATGAAGCAAACACCCAGTGAAGCTGAATTTTGGTAGGAAATGTTTAATTTTACAAGTTGGAGATCACTTCAGATTAAAAAGATATCGTCGGCATTTTCAGTGGCACTTTAAGGATTTTTGAGTTTCCTGTAAGTTCTCTCAACAGATACACACATTCTGACTGAACTTTTCGATTAGTTGAATTTTCGCCAAAGGCTCTGGCATTCTGCATTCGGTACCCACTTCCGAACAGAGTTTCTCATTGATGAGCCCTAATAATAACGAAACTAGAGACCTGTACTTCTATGTTTGACATCAGGACAGCAGGAGAAATGTTCTGACGAGAGTGATGTGGACATAACTTCTATAAATGCACTATTCTGAACAGTAGTAGTACTAATACAAATACCCTCACCTCAAGAAGATTGAAGCTCAGGAGGACGCTTGATCCCAGGTTCCAAAGGTGGCTAGAACCCAGATCCGGTCAAACAGAGGGGTGTGTATTTGCGCAAAGATCCCAATGAATCAGAAAGATTCTATGGCTGTAAAAAGGGGCACTACCGTACGCCTCATTGTAGATCATACTACTTACACAACTCGCACACTACACAAACAACCGGACAGCTTGTTCAAACCACGTTATCAGCTGCCTGTGTGAATTGCGTAGAATCTCATCTATTACTCTTTTGATTTCGTTGTCGGTGGTTTTGGGATTTGATGAACTCACATTCATGTCACTCGCTTATGCACAGTCCTCTCGCCCTGGCGCAGTTATTCTAGTGAGCCCGCACCGGAAGGAGAAGAACTGGACTCGAGCTCATCAGCAATGCACATCCGTGGTCTTGCTGGGTTTGAACTTCAAGCACCTGACATGCGAGGCAAGCGTGTTACCATTGCACCACAAGCGCGCTCTGGACGGATCCGAATTTTCACACTTGAACAGGCGAGCACTCTTGAGGGATGTGATTGGTTTGTTCCACGTCTCGAACGATGACCCAATGACTGGCTCCCCGGATTGTGTCGACCTACTGACCCACACAACAGGACTTCGCAGTCAGCTGGTGACAGGTACGATTTTCGAATTTCCGAAATCCCGCAAATGCATACAACTAGTTCATATGTGAAGCGATGGGGTAGCAGCCGTTTGTGAAGTAACGTCTCCATACTAGTACGCCAATGAACAACTGTTGAACATTTTCCTCTCCATTTTTCGGGGCGATAGGTCACTATTGCTGAGAACAGAGTTAGCTCTTTCTGAGATCAGTGGTATTGAGCCGTGTTCAATTCTCACTTATTTCACCGTTCAAAATGTCCTGACGGTGTTCCTGTGCCATCTGTCACTGCCACCCATGGGAAAGCGACACGCACATGATGTTTGAACTGAGGCCAGCGTAACTTTGGCCACCCGCAGCGTTGACGGCACATTTGGGATCCCACCATCATAGCAACGGGATTTCTTAATATATTTGAACTGGCAGTGCGGCGGTTTAAGTGTTACTACGGCAATCGAGAATGAATAAAAACACCGCATGGACCGTTAACGCAATCTACGGGGCTAACGTGGCAACAGCAACCCAATTCGGTAATGGAAATATATCGACTAAACCTTCAGCAAAGTGATGAAATACTGAGCAGACAAGTAGTCTAACATGAGGGAAATGTAAGGTATCGCTGCGGAATAGGCTTCTTCGATCGGCCGTCTCACCTAAATATAATCTGTTTGAGATTGGTTTGAATGTAGCCAAAGCGCCGCAGTTCATCTTGCAAACCAGAGATAACAGCCTCCAAGATGGAGAACTGTGACCCGAATCCGAGGGTGCACATCATGAAGAAGAAAAACACCGACCAAATAGCTGGCATCGGCATGTTTGTCAGCGCTTCCGGGTAGACAACAAAGGCAAGTCCGGGTCCTGAAATGTGAGAATAGGCATAAGTGTGAGATGAGATGCTCTGAAAAAGATCTTTAGTTAACTGTTTAGTGTACTAATTTCAACAAAGTCAACTGGCACCAAACAGAACAATTTTGAAACGTCATTCATGAGAAATGTCTTCGAAAAAATGACCGATTAAGAGTGATGCTCAGAGCACCGATGGGATTCCGCACCTATCAGTTTTGAAGACTGTGCCCAGTGTGCGCGCTTCAAAGAAGCGCTTTTGCAGTGGTTTCTCCGGGACACTTGCACAATTTCTCTCGCGGTACCCGAAGATCCGAAGACCAGGTATGATAAAGGATATGTTCACTTTGGCATCTTTCAGTCACATCCTACTGCAATACGTATATTGCAATTGGTACAGCAGCAAAGTGATTGCCGTCATAAAGCACAATAGGACCAAACGTAACGGGAACGCCGTTGAGGCCAGAGATAACAGACGTATAGGCCATCATCTTGATAAACAAACTAGCACAACTTGGAATCTGTTTCGGTTGCCTATTGGTGATCGTATCTACACATAACGTATACTCCAGAGAAAACTTGATGAAGTTTTGCTTGTATCAGTGGATGGTACAATCGCTGAAGGGCGTATCTGAATGGTTCTAAAATTCGGTGGGAATGGACTTAGTCGGGTTGTGCAAGGGGGTGTGGAATAGAATTCTAATGGATGACGTAACCATACAGGATAGATTAAATGCAAACCCTAGTCATTAGACTGGGCACAAACTGTAGTCGCTGTAAGATGACGAGTTCCAAATGCAAAGGTATGCGGCAGAAATAATCAGCATTCGGTATCTCACGAAACTCCAGGGAGTCCTGAACAAGTGACCTCCCAGATAGTAGTTTGAATGCGCAGGAGTGGCTTGATTTGGATTCTGTGATTGAAGGATGAGTGGCGCTAAACCGTGTTTGAGTGCGAGCTAATCACAATGCTGACCAGCGGCTCTTTGCCACGAATTCCAGTGTTCAGTCCACGATCGTAAGGTCACCGGTGCAAGACTCTCTGGATTTTCATGAGATATGCATTGCTGATGATTCCCAATAAGAATGAGCCAGATGTGCAATGCCTCTAAGCTTTTCAGCATAGATTGGCTTCATTTATGTGATGAAATTTCTATCAAATGATAACCAATTGTATAACATTGGGGGAGCAAACTAAATTGCTTTGCTACTTTCAAGTTCACTATGATGTAACAGAACAATGAATTTGGTACTCGAATGCTTGGAGTTCGCCCGTGGTTCGAACACCGGTAAGCTTACCACAGCGAAACTACTCAGTGAAGGTGAGTCATTGCATTATTGGTACTGACTATTTAGTGAAACAACACAAGAAATAATCAAGGTAGCCAGTTATGTTTGAATCCATGCGAAATCAGTAAATCGACCAAGATATTGAATTTTCACCTCATTTTCGGTCCACCATCCTGCAACTATTCCAATTCAGGATGTTTGAGAATCGAAACGCGATCAGTCCACCGTATCGTTTGTTTGTCTGCGTGGAATAGTTCTGGGTGTTAGCCAATGGCAAATTTACCAGCAGCTGTTTTTAAAAATATGTGAACGGATCACGACAACGAAGTTACGGGTATTATGCAATGACCGTTTGGATTAGGGCTTTAAAATTAGATGGACTTTTGGCACGGAACTGTCTAATAGCAATGAAGGAGAGGGAGCTTATTCGGAATAGACTAGTGATAACTGATGAGGGAATTTCGTGTATCATAAGCAAAAACAAACTGTGAACCCAGAGTAGAGGCTGATGAACGTCCATCCGACTGCTGCATCTCACGTGTTCGTGTTCTAACCAGACTATCCATGAGTGGCAGTTATCAGTGCTACATTTCCTTGGTCAGTATTAATTCGTATTCCAAATGGGCTATCGAACGTCCGGTTGCCTATCCACGCTCGCTGACTGGTTTGCTGTACGAGAAACACTGTTTGGATTGGCCAAAGCCATGAATTATTTAAATAAATAGTCTTTTTAAAAAAAATCACGTACATTGTTATCTACATCGAGCAATGTACCTTATGAAGTCTGATTGACGGCTTACCAGTCGTCACGGTGGACGACAACAACCCGAGGCGAAAGCCAACGATGCCGACTGTGGATAATTCAAGTTACGCCTTAAGCTTCAAGGCTACCGGAGGTACAAATTCCTAGGTATGATGGCTCGTTCTTATTCGGTCGTTGGTATAAAATTGGACTTTTTCTATGCACATAACGCCTTCCAAACTCCCTACAGACGCTAACACATTGATTTTTTAATTAGTAGGTTTCATTCTGTACCCTCATAAAAGCACAAAACAAGACTTAAGGAGGTTGCTATTTTGTTTACAGGATTACAGTAAACCAATCCCTCAGACACGCACATAACTATGCAGCTTTTTGTCGAGAAGAACGAAAAATACCTCCTTATTCCACAAATATATTCCACCAACGGGAAAACGATCCCATGTTTTTGTTTATCTCGTGCGTGATTTATTTTTGTGGTTTGGGTTGGGAGTTTCGAGGGCTGATCGATAGGCAGCGTACGGTTCCCATGGAATAAAAACAGTGACGGCCATCGCAGCACATGTATTGAAATGCACCGATTTTGCAAGGTGAAAAAGTGTTTAGCTGAACTGCGTTCGTGCGAACAGCCCGCCCCCTCCGAAGACGAATTACAATAATCACGATTTATTCATAGACTTTTCACTTCTCATCGCCTATCACCCGTTGATAAAAAAACTGCTGGCGTTGCAATCCAGTTCCAAAAGTCTGGCTAGATGCCATTGATAACCGTCCCCGTTTAACGTAACAACGAATAAACAAGTCGGTTTAGATGACCAAGCATCTGATCATGTAAGTTTAGCCATCATATGAGGTAGATATAAAAATGACCGAACATCGCATAAACTATCTTTCTGCCTGAACACCAAGTTGTACTGCATCCACAAGGCCAATGTGCATAGAAGATCAACAGACCACGGTCTGTTTGGTTGAATTAGGTGTATCTCGGTGGTCATTGGACTACCCATCACGGCCGAAGTTTGATCAACCCAGTGGACACAGAACGGGTCCTTTGTTCGACGTACTTGTTTTCCTTCTGCGTAACTAGGTGGAAGCTGGCCATATCACGTGGTATGAACAACTACCGCTTTGCTTACAGTATCCGCGCGCTCTGCCGAGGTTCAATATTACCTAGCTTCAATACCGGCAGCGCGTTGTTGATGACGCTGTAGCAGACGTATGTTGTTTATTCTGCATTATGTATACTTGGCTTTGAACTCACGGTTGTTGGAAAACGGTGCTTCTACGTCAGTTAAAGCGGTTACAGTGGGGAGATACTACTTATGAGGGGGATAAGATCTTTTGGGAGGTCGATCACTGGTTCCTTACACTCATGGTCCATTTTCATCAATTCCACTTCTCACTTGATGCACGGTCGTCTTGAGTTGAATATACTATGCACGGACAACGGAAATAGCTCGCTGAAAATGTGTGCTAATCACAAACTGTTCCTTTGCATTATTAATTTTTGTAATAGCGGAAATCACTTGAAAAGATGGTGCCCACTAAAGAAAACAGTACCGGATACAAATAGACCACATTGCAATCAACTACCAGTGACCAGAGTGTCTCCCTGTGTGCCGCTTCTTCTGGAGTAGCCGCGTGGACTCCGACCATGCACTTACGCGCTGCTACTTTTTATAGCACAAAATGTGCATGCTCTGCTTAGCTACCGAGAACTGCTTGGATCCGAGAACCAAACAAGTAAGTAGTCAGATTTCTTTGGGATTCCATTATCCCGTCCAATGCAGACTTTGATTTGGAATTTCTGAAACAGACACATAAATGGTTGTGCCAGGTTGTTATCCCAACCGTCTGCTTCCCACTTTTATGTGCGATGATGTTGGTCTCGCGTAGATGTGAACAAGAGCGGTCAGGACGGGATTTGAACCTGCTACCCGTTTAGTTACGAGGCGCGTGTCCAAGGTAGCTCCACTGCGCGTGTGAGAACTTGGGAACATGTAGGTCGCAGTTCGCGTACATATTGGCGACATGACGCGCACTTTGAACTGTGGTTTCCATGACCAGGTGTGCACCTGTTGACCACCCTTTATCTGCAGTCTGTTCTATCCGTTCGGTAACTTTCTGTCACAGTTTGACAGTACCCAGGTTCCTCTCCGTCCTCTGCTTCCTCTGTACCTCCTTTATGCCTTCTTTATACCGTTTTGATAGTTCCAGAGAGCGCTACATGACATGACTGTTCCTTACAGCTCTTTGAATTCCAATAGTTTGCTATCACTGGTCTATGTTCGCTTTACGTGTACCTGACCCGACCTGTTTTAGAACCATATCCGCGGTGAATACTGCCCGAACTGCAGTTTGCCACAGTCCCGTTGTCTCTATCAACACCACCCAATGTCTCAAGCAGAGATTCCTCTACGGTGCGTGAGGTCGATTAGCTGAGAGAGCCCGTATTGTGGAATCAGTCATACACTTTAAGACGAAATCTCACCTGATATTTCGGGATCTCATACTATCAGCTAGCAAGAATTTGTCAGGTGACCAGTTTTTGGTAGTTTAATGCAACGCAGCCACTCGAGTGACGTTGTCCAAGGCGCTAAGTGACTGGCATCCTTCCAAGGTGATTTTCGCCGTCAACCTCCCTTTCTCTAAGTTTGCGACTGGGCTGAGAGATTACGAAGTTCCAGCTAATTTTCTTCCAGGGTGGAAGAGCCGACAAGCGAATTGCTTATTTTTTTTACACGCATTCGACATCGTTGTAAATTTCAGCTATGATTCTACTTCCAATACTGTCAGGCTGACACTCAGAGGCAGAACTTAACGGTTTTGGTTCATCATTCGGACGAACTCAACATTGTGAAGCGCATATTTCACATCCTCAAACTCAGGAATTGCCGACACAGTCTGCAGGAAACATTTTTGACTTTACCTACTCTCGCCTGAGTATTCAGGGTACAGTTGCTCA